TGTGCCTGTATTAGACCTCTATAAAGTTCCTTTGCCTCCTAATTCTTTCCTCTATTTCCTTTTACTTTCCTCTTGTCCCACCATCATGTTCGGCCTTCATTTGGGTTTAGTAATTCCTCACTGCTACATTGCCCTTGATCAAACCCCACTAGGCATCCTACATCCTCCTCTCCATTGATTTTAGTTCACTTGTTGTTCCCTTGTCCTTGGGTTGGTTCCCCCAGCCCCTTCCTTCCTCCCCTTTTCCCATAATCCCCTGGAACCATTGGTCCCGTTCTTTTCATCTCCAGGAATTATTTATCCTGCCTATCTTATCTAGATAGACATGCAGATACATTAATAAGTGCAAAACCCTGGCAAAGACAAAAAAACAACAAAGGAAGTCAAGACCAACAAAACAACTACAAAAAGAAAGCCACTGACAAAAATAGAAAGGTCTATAAATAGTTCAAGGTCTGCTTGTTGGCCTTTACGAATGTTTTCCAGTGGAGTCTGATGGGGTGCCACACTCTGTCTCCAGAGTCTACTTTTGGTATTCCCCGGGATTTCATCACTTTGCTCCCCTTTTCAGCACATTTTTAATCGTAAAATTAGGTGCCTCAGCTGATATTTGGGCTGGCTTACACTCTAGTATATACGGTATGTGAGCTGATTTTTTAACCTTGTCGGTACAATGCAGACAAATAGGAGGGGAGTTCCACTTAACGTGAAACCAGGTGCTCGCCTGACCGGCAGGTTAGAACTTTAATTGGATGCAAACACACACTTACATATATATTACATATATTAATTAAAAATCATTAATTTCCTTCTGAAGATGAGAAAATATAAACAGGCAGTTGCCAGGAAAAAAATAAACAAAAGTAAAGAAAAACTCCTTTTCCAAGCTGAACTTACATTTCTTGGAAGCAAAGATTAATTACCCATTCTAAAACACATTCCAGTTCCCAAACCTCTGGGTGAAACTGCTTACACTTTAAAGTTTAAAGTGTTAAAAAAACAAAAGCCACAGGCTGTCCCTTTAAGGACTCAGTCCTCTTGAAGCAAGTCCTGGAGCTTGCAGGCCCCTCACAGGCGCACACGCTGGTCCGCGAACAAGGACCACCACAGAGGAACTGATGTGTTTGAACTGCAGTCCTATCAATAAAGATGGAAAGTAATTAGAGCAGCGGCTCTCAACCTGTGGGTCACGACCCCTTTGGGGGTCGAATGACCCTTTCACAGGGGTCGCCCGATTCATAACAGTAGCAAAATGACAGTGATGAAGTAGCAACAAAAATAATTGTATGGTTGGGGCGTCACCACAACATGAGGAACTGCATGAAAGGGTTGCGGCATGAGGAAGGTTGAGAACCGCTGAATTAGACAACAGTCTAATTTGATATACTAGCAATAGTTAGGCAACTTCTCTTCACTGAACATATGATGTTCATCTTTGAAATACCTCTTCATGCTTCTGCTGAATTTACAATTATTCTGACATTTTCAGCTCTGAATATTTTTAGGAATTGCATCATTCACTCATTGTATCTCATGGGACTCTGGGGCGGAAACACCAACCTGAAACAAATGACAGTGTGTCACCCGCTTGTCTGGTCCTTTTCCGCTTTCCATTGTGTGTTTGCTTACTGGTGTAACACACGCAAGGGAATGAACATGTAGTGTTTCACTGAAAGTATATAATGAGTCTTGAAATGAATAAATATTACAAATATAGTTCCATCTAATTTTTTAAATCGCTTGACGGAATGAACATTATTACGGGCACTTAGAATATGCTGTTGAGCAGATGAACATTAAAAAATAATAGGAATGTAAATCTGTGATTTCCACATTGGCTGGCTGCCAGGCTGCCCACCTTAGGGAGAATCCTGATAGTGTAAAGTGCCATTTTCACAACCAGTTTGCTGAGGTCCACAAAAAATTAGGTATCGGTTGTATGGAACTGGTGAGAACCAGCTGAATCCCACCACTGGTTGGGAGCTGTATGGGCAAAGTGGACCGCTTTTCTGATTAAATCCAATTCTCTGCCAAAACCACATGGAGCCAAGGAAGAACTGGCTTGAGGAAAGGACACAACCAGACACATGGTCTCCCTTGGAATTCATGTTCATCAGCCTCTACTGGAGAACACAGTTGTGCTTGCTTCTCTTACCCACTCACCTCCCCATTATCCTAGACTGAGCAGGCCAGGAGCAGAAAGCCTGGCTCACTTTTTGGAAGTGACACATTTGTTCCAGGTGTGGGGTTTGTCCCAGCAAGGAGCCTCCTTGGAGTGGAGACGGAGGGAGAGGCTGCCTTTACTGGGAGCTTGGTAATCAACGTGGTATTTGTCACTGGCAATGACCCGAGAGCCTGCAGAACACCAGGAAACCAGAAGCCAGAGACCATCCCTGGGAAGTCAACGCCTTTTATTCCACCGGAAGAAAATGACGGCTCTGGTATGAGACAGATGAGGGAGTCGGAACAGACTGGTGACGGTCATGTTTACACATTGGAACTTCACCAAGCAGCGGCGACGGTGTTTGGGGGCGCAGATGTCTTCTCCACAGTGAGGTGGGGGCCTCACCAAACAGCAAGGCTCTGGGGGGAAGAGGCTGCTTATCTGTTTTTCATTTCATGGTGAGACGCTGCTGACCTCTGGCTAGCCTTTCCAGTGGGCAGGGAAACATGACGCTGGTTAGGTAGCGACGGGCTGGCCAACTGTAGTGGCTCAGGGAATTGGGGAGGCTTCTCATTTCTCCTTACTCTCAGTGTCTCCTCGGAGAGGACTCATGTGCTCGAGGCAGCGTGCGAGGCAGCAGAAACGATTCTAACGGAACCTCTGACTTCACAGGTCCAATCCCAACTTCAAACGCAATGGATCGCCCAGAGGCCAAGGGTAGGACTTGCTTCCAACCAAGGTTTGGTTCCCCCTCCCCTCCCCGTGAACACAAAATGTTTGAAGGCCCTGCAACGTGGTGGCAGGCCTGGCGTGAGGGCAGGGCAGCAGAGAGCTTGGGAAGTTCTCAGTTGCCAGCCCCGCCCCCTGGGGTTTGGGAGCCCCATTGATCATCTGCTTCCTCTAGGTGCAGACGCCAGAAATCGCAGTGGCTGTGCCATGGGAGGAGACGGAGCGATTCAGATGAGAAAGCGCCCTGGGAAGAGGGCATGTCCCGCTCTCTCTCCGGAGGTCTCTGGGGTGCACCATCCCACAGAGCAGCACTCCAACTACTCTCCACAGCCAGACAGGAGCGCGCCCAGTGGCTGCTGGGAGCAGGAAGCAGGTTTAGAACAACTCCACGCCTTCACCCAGCAGTGAGCGAGGACTCCCGATAGAAGCTATCAGCCCTTCCTTGCCTTCAAGCGCCCCATCTTGAAGAGGTCACCATCTCAGGCAGTGAGTTAATGGCGTCAAAATCCACAAGCCAAACTTGTGGGGTGCTGGCAGGAAGGCTGGTGAGGAACTAACTCTAGAGGAGTTAGCACTTGGCCGTCCAGCTGCATGTGTGTCTTGGGTTTGAGAGCCCACCCAGCCACCACCCACATTCTGCTCCAATGTTCTGGTCCAAGCTTGGGTTTTGTCGTCCGCTTAGCGCTCCATGAAGACTGGGCAGGCTTCGGTATTCAAGAGGGCTGGTCCCTAGACACGCCCGCCCGCCAGAGCGCTTGTGCTAACGCTTCACCACCCTCTCCGAGCACACGCGTGCTTGGGAGCACCAGCACGTATTGGGGGCTTCATTTGTGCCTTGGGAGGATTTGGGTCATGAGTCTAACACCCACACCTTCTGCGCATCCACCGATGCACTGGGCCGAGTCAGTTTAGATCTCGGCTGCCGATAGGTGATGGCTGTAGAAAACGGATGTGCTTTACTGAGACACAAATATTTCATCACAAGGCAAGTTAGTCACTCTCGCACGAGGCCTCTCCCCGAGCCTCTCCACATGTTTATTCTTTACACAGAAAGAAACAGCAGTAAACTCCACTCACACCCGGGCCTGCCACTGACAGGCACTGAAAACCAAGGGCCAGGGATGCTTTAGTGGAAAGGACATCAAGGGTAAGGGGACTCTTGGTTTCATGAGCAGTTCAGAGAACAGTTGTTTCATACCCACGCGGCACACCCTTTCCCGAGCTCCTCTCTCTCCCTTTTTGCTCTGGGTTTCCCTCCCCGAGCCTGCAATGGGTTGTGGGACCAGCACGTAGCCTTCATTCAAACAAACAGCAGCTCTAGAACCTTCTCTGTTGTTGCTGTTGCCCAGAAAGGAGCATTTTTTGACCAGGCTTTCGATGGCTCCAATGAAGTAGCATTCAATGAGAATTTCTGTTTACTTGTTTTCCTTCTAAATCAACCACTGTCTTAAAATGACCTTCTCTAATCATGACTCAGAAAAACGACCATGTTAGTGTTTTGTTGTGTGTGCTAACAGAACATATTTTACCTCAAAGTTTGGCCAGACGAGCCAGGGGAAAACCAGAGAGAGAGATTTGAAAAACTGATTTGTGACCATCTGAGGTCCAGCCATCTTTTAAACGGGGTGAGAAGTACAAGCTGAGCTCCCCACCCTCTCTGGCACTCCTCTACGGGCCGGCATGGGTTCTGAGGACCGGGCTCACAGCCGCAGCCCGGCTTCCCGCTGGAATCCCTGGGCGCTGCCTCGGTCCACAGTGCTGTGCACTCATACTTCCCAAGCGGAGACCTAGAGATCGGCAGCTTTCAAGCATGTCTTTCTAGAAAGAGTGCCCTGAAGTCGATGTGTAGAGTTAGTGCAATAAGAGATTCGATATAATTTTAAGTTACTTTACAGGTAACAGTTTACACACACCTCAGGCCCTGCTAGAGACGTTCCTATATATTTACAAACGTGGTTGTACATATATACACGTTAACAAAATACACGGCGGTCTAAAAATTAGATTCATCTCAGTGCGCTTTTCGGTTCACAATGTTGTTCAACCAACACCTTCACTCCCCTCCTTTCCCAAAGTCCAGGGCACCCCCACCACCCCCACCCCCACCACCACCCTGTGCCAACTATGAGTTTCCACTGGCATCCCCCCCAGTGTCCAATTTCTCCTGCTCCTTGACATCTTGCCTGCTTCTTGTCTTGGGTCTGCCTTTCCTTGACGCCTCGAGGCCGGGCCTCTTCCCCTGACCGGCGGGTCAGTGCCGGGGAGCCCTGCTGGCGGGGGGCGGGTTCAGGAGTCCAGCTCCAGCTGCTCTGGGTTCTCAGTGAGTCTCACCATGAGTTGCTGCTCGTAGTACAGGCTCTTTGCATAGTTTATTTCTTGCGATAACTTGACAGCAAGGACCTCGGACTTCACGTGGACCTAGAGACCAGAACACAGCGAGTAAGTGGCTCTGAGGTGGGAAAACCACACAGAATTGGAACACGGGGCTGCAGCCTCCTGGTCTTGGGGCTGTTGGAATCGTGTGGCTGCATTGCTAGGTTTTCACCCAGCGGCTGCTAATGGAAAAGGTCTGGCGTGGACCCCTACAATCTGCATTCTCAACCTATTCCCTGTACCCAATCCATAACCAGGTGACATCTGGGCATCCTTAGGATTCAGACCCAGTTCCAGGTCTGAGTTAGAGAGGAGGGACTTCACTGGGGCAGGACCGTGGGGAAAACTCCAGGTTCATCTTTGGGACGGAATTTAATCTCTGCGGCAGCCTGGAAGGGAAGGTGAACATGCAGTTCATGCCGTGGACGTGTCCTCCTCATGGATAATGCCCCGAGTCCATCACTTAGTGTGAAAGGGGAAAGTGTATTTGGGCGTTAACGGTGTTACTTTTCTTCCCCCATCAATCCCATCTAAGCCCGGGTATGGCCGTGCCAGGCCCCAGGGAGCCAGCAGAAGGCTCATTCCTGAGCAGGGGAAGGCCACGGCACCCGAGGAGAAGGCTCTTGAGGCTGGCCACTGTCCAGATCTGCAGACAGGACCCAGAGATGAGCAGGGCACTCTGACACTCACTCCCAAAGGCAAGCTTGGAATTCCTAGCAACACCTCCAACAACAACACCTCCAACAACAACAACAACAACAACAACAACAACAACAACAAACTTGCTGCCATCAAGTTGATTCTGACTCATCTTGACCGGACAGGGCCACAGAGAACTGCCCTGTGGGTTTCTGAGACTATGAATCTCAGAATGGGAGTAGAGAACCTCCATCTTTTCCCTAGGAGCATCTGGTAGTTTCGAACTGCTGACCTTGTGGTTAGCAGCCCAGCCCAAGACACCACCAGGGCTCCTCACAGTACCTAGACTTCCTGAAGAGCCACCAGGTCAGATGATGGCTATAAAAAGGCCATTTCCTTCCCCATTGCTGCTGTTGGCCCCGAGGTCTCTGTGGGCAGAGGCAGCAGAGCTATGCTCCTGACCATCACCCCAGGCTGGGACTACCTGGGACTGAATCCCAGCTGCTTTCTACAGAGGATGCCCCAGCAAAGTCCCCTGCAGTCACCAAGCCCCATTAGCAGTAGAGTGGGGTCCCAAGGGCACAACACGCACAACGAAAGATTTGGTATACCCCTGCAGGCCGAAACCCAGTGAGTGCTAGCTGCACATAGGAATTCCATCACTTAGAGCCCCCAGAGCAATACCTCATACTCCATGGGGCAAAGAATGCACTTCATTTACAAGGGTTTATTACCCTCAGTTGGGCCCTGTGCTAGACACTGCTTCTTTCTGCAGAAAAGCAGCGACAGTGTCCTCTGTCACAGGGTGTGCGCTGACACTCAGGTGGCACAGGTGGGAACCCCAGGCATCAAGCTACTGGCCTCTCAGAGCTAGAGTGGGTGGTGTTAGTCTGTCCCAGTGGGTGACTGAGGATGGTGACCAAATGCTGGGTCATGATCCCAGCAAGGGAGCCAGAAGGGGGCTTCCAGGTCACAACTAGGCAGCAGAGGCCCCGGGAGCTAAGGATCTAAAGGCAGGGCCAGGGCACGCTAAGCAGGCAACAGAGGTCAGCCACGTGCCCGCTCACAAGTCGCCAGCAGACCGGCGAGCTGTGACTCACCATGGGCTTCTGGTGAGAAGGTCCTGGGATGGACACTCCGCTACTAGTGCTCTGGGCCTTCTTGGTCACTTGCACATACACCTTCCCGTGGTCTTTGGAGACAAGGCAGTGGTAGAGGTCGTCGTATTTGACTTCCAGGAAAATGGCCTCTCGGTCAACATAGTCTCCACTCTTCAGGAAGTACACGGCCTTGGAGGAGATGAGCACGCAGTAGCTGTCAATGTTCTCCACAGCGATGAAGCTGCAAGGGACGGAGGGCAGAGAGGAATGCGGAATAAGACGACCCTGTCACCCAGCCGCAGAGGGCACATGGGCCCAGGTGAGTCACCCCTGGGCAGGTGTGTGGCCGCTTGGAGCCTCGGTTTCCTCATCTGTAAATTAAGAATGAAACCAGTGGGGCTAATGAGAGCTCCCGGGTGAGGGGCTGAAGGCTGGTGCGTGACGTCACTAATGGGAACAGACACCCCTCACAGCCCAAACCGTATTTTGTGAAGCGTTTCTTTTCATTCTTTTAGGGAGAATTTTCAGTGGTTACATGAGGGGTTGCTAACTGCAAGGTCTGCAGTTCGAAACCACCAGCCGCTCCACGGGGGACAAACAACGCTTTCTCCCTGTGAAAAGTTACTGTCTGAAACCCCTGGGGGCAGAGTTCTACCCTGTCCTGTAGGATCGCCATGAGTCCTAGAGGCATCGATTTGATGTTAGTGAGCTTGGAATTTTAAAAAAGAAAAAGAATGCTATGGAAGTTTTTCCATCAGCCCGGAGAGGCTAGAAGATGGGGAGGTGGGACCGGATGGCGCACGTGGCAGCGCAGGCACAGTCCAGTCTGCATCCTGCCTGTCAGTTCTTGGAGGACCTCAGTCTCTGCTCGATGCCTCAGCCGACAGGGACAGCATGAGGCTGCCATTCTACTGCCAAGCAACTCTAACAGCCAGAAACTGTCTCTGGAGGAGAAGGGCCACTGCGGCCCCCGTGCTTCCTGTGACAGCCTTTCACAATGGAGCGCAGGGGCGAGCGGATGAAGACGGAGAGCCCAGACAGCTGACAGCAGAGCGGCTGCTGAGCTCAGTCCCGGGACTGGGTGTCCTGATGGGATTTTCCAGCTCTGTGCTGGCAGCCAGGGCTCCCAGGGCGTCTTTGTTCCTGGATTGGCCTCCGATGTGACGGCGGAAGCGCGAGTGGCATGAGGACAGCCCTCTCCTGCCAGTCCAGCAGGTGCCTGTTCGCGTCCTGGTATGTGTGCCTCCTGCTCCAAGTCGTCCCCACCCAGGAGGATGAGGATGAGACCCTGAGTGCCCACGGCCCCCCACTCTTGAACCCTTGCTCCCAGTCGCCTTCAAAGGCACAGCAAGATGCTTACTTGGTCTTTCTGTTTCCTGGACAAGAAGCGCAGCTCGCCAGCTAAGCTGCAAGCCCTGTGCCAAGCAAGGTCCCTACCGGACAGCCCTGTACCTCCTGTGGACCCTCCACTGAGCTGGCCACCCTGCGGTTCCTAAGCGAGCTCTAACCTGGTGCCGGCTGCCATTTAAATTACAGCCCTCCATAACAGAAAATGGGGGTTTATTGTTCTGTTCTAACGGGTTGGCAATGCCAAGAATGTAGACTTGTAAAGTCTCGATGCCAAAATTAGAAACACCAACAGCTTTCAGGTTCAGGTCACTTAGCACCAAGGGCAGCGTTATCACTGCTTCCCACACGGAATCTACACCGGCTGGCCCAGAGGAAGGAGAAAAGAGGAACAGGGCATCCAGGGCAAACTACAACTACTTAGCGACACCCCCTCACCCCCCGCCCCACCAAAAATCACACCGGAGTGAGAAAGCAAAGATGACCTAGCTCGAGTACCAACCGAGCCAGGGAGCTGAGGCTGCAACAGCCCCTCGAAGGAGTCCAGTGCCCTGGGGGAGCGGGCATACAACCCCGGCTGAGACTCTGGCTCAGTGCAGGATGGGCCTTTCTACCTTGTCCCCCTCAGCCCCCACCCCACTACAGCAGGGGTTTGCACCCCAGAAAGAGCCTTTCGGTGGGGCTAAGTCCCTGACATCCCTGGGGCACCTTCCAGATGGAACACTTCTATAGGGTCCAAAAAGGCTCCTTTCCAGGATGCCGTGACACAGGTCCTCAGTCCCAGGTCAGCAGCCGGAACCCTGATGGCCTCGCCCTGGCCGAGGCCATGTCTGCCTTGTGGCTCAGTTGCCTCATCTCTCTAACAGATCAGATGACACCGCCAGCTTCTTCTGTGGGCAGCTGGCCAGTCAGCACCAAGCTCTGCCCTGGAGACACGGCCGGTGATGCCACGCTGTGGGCATTTTCATGGAATATTCTGAAGTCATTTCAAATCCGGCTAGGGGCTCAACTGAGGGGGAGGGCACCCTGGCACAGCCCTGGCAGGAGATGTGGGCCCAGCAAGGCCACAGCAGAGGAACCAAGACGGTGCCCACTGTGGCCTGAGCAACGAACCCCGAGGGGCTCTGCTGACTTCCCTCCTGATGTCACCCAACCCTCCGCAGCCACGGACCAAGGCCATGGGTGCCAGAGGTGACCTGTCAATGAAATCTGGAGAGCATCCCTGAGCCCTGGGCAGAGCGACCACTGGCAATCTGGATCCAGAGAACACTCTTCTGCCTTCTGGTCTGTCAGAGCGAAGGCAAAGAGCAAAGGGCTAGAGAGGCCTCATCCGTATTTGTGGGCAGCCAGGGATGTCCTCGGTGTGCTCCGACTGAAGAGTCAGTGTTGTGTCTAAGCCAGTTACCAACAAGTTGCGGTAAACAGATAGACACCACAACACACTTGCCGTCTCAACCATCTTCTAGAACACAGTCCCAGCCCTTCACTGTGCTGTCTGTTTCGACCGCTCCCACACCCCAAGGTTCCCACCGGCCCCCACAGCAAGCACCCCAGCATGCTCTTAGCCAGTGGTTCTCCACCTTCCTCATGCCGAGACCCTTTCATACAGTTCCTCCTCTTGTGGTGACCCCCAACCAGGAAATGATTTTCCTTGCTACTTCATCACTGTCATTTTGCTACTGTGATGAATCGGGCAATCCCTGTGAAAGGCTAGTTTGACCCCACAGGGTCTCGACCCACAGGTTGAGAACCGCTGCCCTAAGGGTTCTTTTCCTTTCCTTCTGTCCTCCCGCCTGGACTCCTTCCCTCCGTAACCATCGATAAGCTCAGCTCTCTAGACACCTGCCTGTTCACTAGTGTTTTGATACAATTTTAAACCTCATTTCTTCTCATTTTCCTTTCCCCATAAGGAGGAAAAAAGCAGTCCATGGTACGCTCAGTATCATTTGCCACTATCATAATTCAAAGATAATCAATTCTTCTCCTGTCTTTCTTACTCTGTCCAGCCTTCACACCCACCTGAAGTTATGGGAAATACCACGGTTTGGGTCGGGTGCACCTCGGTCCCCAAAGTGCCATCTTTGCTCGGTAACTCTTTGAAGAGGTCTTGTGTGGCCTCTCTGTCCAGTGCGAAGCCCCAACGGCTGCTGCCCTGGGTGGTCTTGGTTAGTGGGAATCGAGTCCGCTTTCCCCGGAAAGCCTGGAACTCTCAACGAAGACAGCACAGCTTTCTATGTGGTCCTGGCCCATAGTTGGAGTCAGCACAGTGGCTAGGGAGTCTCGGGGATGAACAGGGGAACTATGTCACAAGGCCCAAGAGAATCTGTTGGCAGTGCCCATGCAGTGTTGGATGGTAGATCTGTTTGACCCAGTAGTAAAGTGAAAGCATTCTCTTAGAACTCTTGATTAGCCTATGAAAGCTTTAGCTGTCATTAAAATAGCTGGGTCATTCGCCAAATGCAGGTTTTAATTCAGTGGCATATTTAAAACTGTCAACCCCCCAGGCAGTGGTGGTTATTGGTAGGAAACGGGTGCTCATGAACGTGCCTGTGCACTGCTCCTCTAAGGGCCCGGTTCTTCTGCTTGAGATGGTCTAGATTACTGTAAGGTCTACGCTTATGACTACATGCAATCAGAATCAACACATGCTTAAAAAAGAAGGAGAAAAATTCTGTTAGGAATGGCTCATACAAGAGATAACATCAGAAAGAACCCCAAGATTACATGACAGAATGACCGAAAATTCTGGAAATCCTGGTGGCACAGTGGGTTGAGCACCGGAGCACTACCCACAAGGTCGGTGGTTCAAACGCACCAGCCGCTTTCTTCAGGACAAAGATGTGGCAGCAGTCTGTTCCCACAAAGATTTACAGCCCCGGAAACCACAGGGTCGGTTCTACTCTGTCCTCTAGAGTCACTCTGAACTGGAATTGAACCGACGGCGGCGGTTTTTAAAGTGAGCTTAGATGAGTTAGTATCTCCCTGAATGTGCAATTTCTCAGACGAACAGACAAGCGACAGAGCACTAGAAACAGCATCTCTACCAAGCGGGCCAGAGGGGAGAAAGGAGGCACTGGGGACTTCTCTTTGGACTCTCGCTGACCACGCACGTGGGTCCCCTGCCTTAGAGAAAGGAGCTATCTGGCTGATGGGTTTTATTTACAGGTTTTGTTCTTGTCTTTGTTCTTTTCTGCATTGAAAAAAAAAATCCCACAAATGTTATTTTCTAAAGCTACACTTGAAAACGTCATCCCACTGTCCACCGGCAGATTCACTAGTGCCACAGGCCCTGTGTTGCTGATGAACATCTGTCCTGAAGCGGCAGGAGCTGCCTCCGGGTGACAACCCCAAGGGGACCCCTGCCTAAGACGACGTGCTAGAAACTGAACAGGTGCATGCCTTTCACATGAAAATGAGAATACTGGACAAAAATTAGACATCGTTCAGAAAGAAAAATCAATCAAGCCACATAGGACAAATTTCACTTCTGCACTGTCTTAACCCAGGATCCTATTTCAAAACCAAACAGGGAGGAGAATGGGAAGCAATCGTTATTCTGCAACATACCAGAGAAATCGCTGGTTAATTTGAACTGAAGCTGTTTCTGCCCGTCAGACTTTAAAATCATATGTCAGCAACTATATTTTTTAATACTAATTAATTAAAGAATTGCAAAAAATTAAGCACAACACCATCTGGGAGAACAAAGTTGAAGTAACCATGGCACTAGGGGCTTTGTGGGGCTTTGACGACATCAGGAAGTAATTACACAATATTTTCCAGAAGTGAAACAGTGAGTCCAACTGGAAAAAAATGTGGAAACATTTAGTTAGAACAGTAGAGAAAGGTATTAAAGGCCCTTTTAAGGGGCTAACTCTGAAGGAAAATATGCAAATAATTATGTCTTTAAACATGCTTCTAATTACAGTTCTAGGATAAAAGTCAGAGGTATAATTTGGTGCTCGTGTGCTTTTCCTGAAAACGCCTTCCTCTTGAAGTGATGAGCCTACGGTTCACAACACTGCGAGGACCGGGCCTGACAGTGCGGACACTTCAGAGCAGCATCTGCCAGGCGCTCGGGTGAACTTCCTCTGTCCGCCTGCCACTGACAAAGGCCAGTCATAGGCCTCCTGCTGCCTTCCCTGGGAAGACAGGAGCCACAAACTTGGGTGGAGACGCATAGTTTTCATCTTTACAGTCAAAATTCATTCAGGCCAATATCTTGTCCTAGTTCATAAGAATTCCAGGGCTTCAGTGAAATGTGTTTTACTGATTTCATGGGGAGTCCAGTTTGCCGTCTCCCCCACCTCTGTCCCAGTGTGGCTACCTCGCTGTGAGGGAACCTACACTGGCTGCACCACGGACGCCATGTCTCTGGCGTGATTTGTGGAGCATGCCAGTCTATGGGAAAGGAGTGCTACTGAGTACAGGAGAACACGCAGGACGAAACTTCGTCGTCACAACCCAACGCCTTGAGGGAATGAAGGGCTGGGCCTTGGGGCTCAGGGCTGTAGTTTCCGGGGACACCACGGTATTCTGGCATAACTCCTTCCACAAAGACCATGTGCTACATTCCCCTTTGGTGAAGAGTGACTGAGGTCTTAATCGGCCATCTAAGGTGCAACTAACGGACCCATGACCCCGAGACCAGAAGAATTAGATGGTACCTGGCTACCACTTCTAATCATTCTGAACAGGATATTAGAAGGTCCTGGATAAGGTGGGGGAGAAATGTGGAACAAAACTCCAAGTCGCAGAAGAGACTAGGCTTACTGGTCACACGGACACTAGTGGAACCCCTATGGCTATGGCCTTTCGTCACGGTACAGGCCCAGAACTCAATTCACCTGCATGGTGCCATTTTCAGCCAAACAACAGACTAAGTCTACATGGGCAAAACTAAGGCTATAAAAGCACACACTCCTTATCATAGTCAACCCATTTGAGGCCAAAGGGCCTCTTTGTCCAAGAACAAGGTTCAGAAAGTAGGAAGGGTTATGAGAGACGGCAGAATGGATGGGAACCCCGGGAGGTGGGGGATAAGTGCTGTCACAATTGTGGGAAGGAAAGTTATTGACGTAAACCAAAATGTGTATGCATTGTTGACTGGAAACTGGATTTTGTCTGTAAACCTTCACCCAATTCACAATCAAAAGTTAACAAGGAAATGGACTTTGTATAAATCAGTCAACTTGACTGGGAGTGGGTGAAGTCGAAATGAAAAGCGTAAGACAATAACTCATAATCTCAAAAAGTCTCTGAAGGGGTTAAAAATTAGACACCTAGTAATACAAATGCCAAACAGCAACTACCCATCTATATTCACTGCACAAATCTTTATTGAGTGACTACTGCCAGGCACTACTCTGGGTACTGAAATTGAACAGAGAAGAATCTGCCCCATGCTCTGCTAGGTCCCAGGAGTGACTCTCTGGGCCTCCAATTCAAAGGCCAAGAAGTGCTATCAGTCAAGTGGTATAAAGGGCACCAAATCCCAAGAAGGTAGACGCGTAAAGTCCTTTCTGGAGTGATGCAATGTGAGGGCTGAGTTGAGACTGAAACCGTCGTCTTTTGTTGTCTGTGAGTCAGGGTGTGCAGACTAGAACTGCTCCGTGGGGTTTCAAGGCTGTGGTCTTCTGGAAGCTGATGGCCAGAGGTCAGTGCAGGTTCTCACTGACACCCTGTGACTAGTACTGGAGGGTCAACTGGCTGCACCAGGAGGATCTAGTAATGACACTAGGCTTGGCCATTATCAAGACTGTCCAATAACAATGAGGGAGTTTGGTCATTCAAAGAAGACTTACTAGGAAGATGCCAAGGTGTTCTGGTGACCCAGTGTACTAATCACTGGGCCACTAACTGAAAGTCTGGCAGTTCTAATCCAAGAGGCACTCCATGGGAGCAACATGAGGCAGCCTGCTTCTATAAAGACGTATAGCTTCAGAAACCCTATGGAGAAGTTAGTTCTACACTGTCCCACAGGGTCACTGGGTCAGAAATGACTCAACACCAGGGGGAGGATGCCATCCTACCCAGTAAGCAACAGATGAATTCTGAATTGGATTTCGGAGCTCTCCATTTAAACAGTATTACAAAAATATGAGATGAGGTCAGCCTACCACCATGGCGAACAGTGAACTGAACGGTTTCCTGAGAGTTAATCTCTACTCCAGGCATGCTTCCACTGACCACATCACTCACGGCTCCCAGACCCTCCTTGGCTTGCTTTATCTTAAAGGTAATACAATAAACATCAAAAGAAATTAAACTAGCACTTTGCATTACCAGTTTCTATTTCTGGTCTTGAACCAGACTGGTTCTAACAGTTACTCAGGTTATAGAACAGTTTATGCTGGAAGGAACCTCTGCAGGACAGCTGAAGACACCTGTATTCCACCATATCAAAGAGAAATCAGTTCACCAACAGGAAATCCCAGCAACAGAAGGCTCCATATTCAAAGAATAACAAAATTTCTTAGCCATAATTAAATACCTTGAGGGAATGAGTTCCATCTATATATATGGAAACAATTAGGCCAACAGACTAATGGGCCACACGAACCTCAGTCTCCATGACCTTGAGACCAGATGAACTAGATGGTTCTGGCTACCACTTCCAACTGCTCTGAAAGGGTTCACATTAGAAGGTCCCAGATAAAGTGGGAGAAAAATGTGGTCTAAAACTCAAAATTATAAAATAGACCAGGCTGATGGAAGCCCCGAAAGTTCTGTCCGGGACAGAACTCACTGCCAGGGCTCAACTTTCACCCACATAACAGACAGGTCTATAGACTAGGTCGAAAGACACTAGTGAGGTATGTACATCTTAGAATAACCAGCCACTTGAGGCAGAAATGACAACATTTACCCATGGACGGAGTTCAGAAGGAAGAACGGAAATGGGAAACAAGGAAGAAGGGGATGAGGGATGTTCCATTGTGGGGATTGCAATCAATGACATGAAACAAAGTGTGTATGAAGTATTGGATGGAAAACTGATCTGCTCTGTAAGCCTTTACTCAGTCCATAGTAAAAAAAGGAAAGAAAAAAGATCAAAACCTAAGAAAATCATAGTTTCCAAATGTTCAATTACTAGTGTTTAAGGGAGTCCTGGTGGTTACTCAGTGGGCTGCTAAGTGCAAGATCCGCAGATGGAAACCACCCACTGCTCCTCGGGAGAATGACGAGCTTCCTATTCCTGCAAACAGTTACAGCCTCAGAGATGCAGAGGCAGTTCTACCTTGTCCTACAAGATCACTGTGAGTCAGCATCGACTCCCTGGAAGTGAGCTTGTTATTTATTTATGCTTTGTTTTGCTAGCAAGTAACAGCTCCATCGTCACTGAGTTGATTTTGACTCATAGTGAAGCTATAACAAACCAAAAATCCAAACTCAAAGACATCAAGGCAATGCTGATTCATAGCTACCCCGTGGGTTTCCGAGGCTGTAACTGTGTACAGGCGTTGAAAGCACAGTCTTTCTCCCGAGGAGCTGCTGGTGGTTTCAAACTGCTTACCATGTAGCTCAAGTAACCCATTCCACCAATGCATAACCACCAGGGCTCTTTATACCCTGCTCCCAGAGGGCAGAGTCAAGCCCCCCTGTGGAATTCCAAGAGGAGACTGTAAAGTTTACATCCCATCTTTCCCCCACGGACCACTGTGTAGGAGCTGCCCGGCTTTGGGCTAGTAGTCCAGCAGCGGTTCACTAGTGTATCACCAGAACGCCTTAGCGGAAGCCCTAAAACCACAACCCATTGTCATGGAGTTGATTCTGGCTCCTAGCAAAGCCTACAGGGCAGAGCAGCACTGCCCCATAGTGTTTCCGAGGCTGTACATCTGTATGGAGCAGCTCGCATCATCACCCTCCGGTTCCGCAGCGGAGAGCCTGATGGTGCAGTGGTAGGCTCCTCGGCAAAAAGAACACCAAAGTTAAAAAATCAGAGTTTTTTTTGAGAGGTCGGGAGATAACCTTCTTAAAACTGAGGACATTTTACCCATCATCTTCCCTCTTGGACCTAACTGGAAGAAACATAAGAGTTTAGAGAAAATAAGCACTCAAACGGAAACATCCACTAAGGTCCTCCCTGCTCTGGTAGGCCGTCCGAGAACCCCTCTTTGAGTAGCTGGCTCTTGGACAAGGAGTTCCACCTAAGCCTCTGGAAGACGCGACAGGGGTGTGACCAGCTCCAGGCCTCACTGCTCAGGCTCAAAGACCCAGGAGACCGCTCGGCTGTCCCAGCCAGGCTGGCTACTTACAATTCGTCTTGTATGTTGTCTGTCAGTTTGAAGAGCTGCTCCTGCCCTTCTGCCTGGCTCTCAGAGTAGCGGGGAAGGAGTCCTTGGGGGCCCATGCAGCAACGTGGCTTCCGCACCCTCTGGGCTTGAGTCCTGGGGGTGAATGGACAAAAAACAAAGAAGGTTACGATGGATGCTTAAAGTGAGTCCTCCCCTGTGCCTAGGAGAAAAACACCACATCATACCAAACACATGCTACATTTAGGCACCAGGGTTAAACTGCCAGCGAATGCACTTTAGTCCATGGCCAATGGCTCAGTGTTGAATCAGAAAGCCTGCTTTTGCCATCTTCTAGCTGTGTGACAAGGGCAAGCCAGTTTCCTGCATTCAGAGGTGATGATTCCACTTCAGAGGACTTCTGTGAAGATGAAGGAAGATTCTGCCCATCAAACCTGGCCTTAACAGAAGGCGGCCGTCCACCCAAGGCAGCTACCATGTCATTATGGTGAGACATCACTTGCTCCCACTGTAGTGCTGTAGCAATCTCTTCAGAACCGTCACCAGATGGGCAGTGGTCAGGAAGAACAACAGGCTGTGTGGGCATCCAATAAAACCACATCAGATGATTTGGATTTTCCTCCCAAGAGCTAACTGCCAGGGTACCAGCTGAGGGGCAGAGATGCTCATGAGTTGGTCCCAGGCCACAGTCTGGGATCCTGAGGGTCGCTGACGCATGCCACTCAGCTGTCGGTTGCCCAAAGGAATCTGCTTTGCTGTGGCTTTCTGAGCAGGCTCCTGTTGTCTTTTTCCACAAACTCTATGCAGGGTAATTGATAAGTGCTTTTTGGTGTTTTCCTAGAAACAGGAGTCCATATTTGTCTTGGAAAGGCTGTGCATATTTCAGATGACTGATAAGAGCGTGCTGATCTGTCCTTGGCCTTGTACTTGCAGTCCTTTTTATTATTTGTTCCTGGAGCCCATTGAAGCAAAACACCCCTTTCCAGTCACATCTCAGTAAGAGAGGAACAGGCTTCCACACGGAGTCAGCACTTTAGAATTGCGTAGGATCGGCAGTGGAGAGACTTACTTGCAGGGTCAAAGCGTGCCCTGGTGGGCAAGCCAGTGCAGTTACATGGGCAAAAACAGACAAAAGCTCATCGTGTGGTGAGTTAGCTGAAAAGCTGGAGGAATTGCAAAAAGCTCTGGGCCTGGGCAAAAACCAGCGCATCAGGCCACAGTTTGGCATGTGCCGGAAAACCAGAAATCTAGTGACAACGTTTTTAAAGTTCAGTAGTAAGCGTGCCACAAGTACTATTAATTGTGCTCTTCATTGATGAAGTAAAGAGACAGCCAAGGAATGCCAATCATCTGCACTAAGGGCACGTTGATTAGGGAGTACTTTTCTTTACAACATAGACTCATACAGACCCTCGAGAGCCACTGCTAGACCCGCTTCCAACTCAGAGAGAGCTCCGAGGGCACAACAAGACTGCCCTGGAGGTTTCCACAGCAGACTGCCACGTCCTTCTCCATGGATGGAAAGCACCAGCCCTCCGGTCAGCATTTTAACCAGGCAGAGCTGGACTCATACTCACTTTGCTAATTCCTACTCCTTCTTAGATTTGGCCTGATGTTGGCTGTTAAGAACTCCACTACCGACTGGTCGTGAGGAGGGCAGCCCAGGGAGCTAGTGCTGACCCTTGAGTGGAAAAGCTTACCAACTGTTGCTCTATGAGTGGTGGCAAGGGAGGGACTTTTCCCAGGTGGTGGAGCCCTGCTCCAGTGTCCTGGTTTAAGGAAACATCTGCAAACAGCGCCTGGGGCTGGCTAACGGAGTGCCTTCCCCCAAGCAGACCCATGACGGTGCACTCACGAGGTTCCTGGAGGCAGTTCCGGAGATCGCGCGGAAGCATCTGGCCAGGCTGCTTCCTCACCGCCTATCAACAGAAAGCTTGATTCCGATTCCGCCCGCTCTTCCTTTCCCCATGTGTACCGCACTATGGTACGTCCTGTGGGCTCCACCTCCAACAACAACAAACAGCCTACCGCCACCGCATTGATCCCCACTCAGACGGCAACACTGGATAGGGTGTTCTAGAGGTAAATCTTTGCTGGAAGAGATGGTCTCCTCTTTATCCTGCAGAGTGGCTGGTGGGTTTGAACCTCTGACATTTCAGCTAGCAGTCCAAAGCTTCCCAAGCAGGGTGCTTCTATCTTCCATATAGATCTTCAATCCAACTATGGCTCTATCTTTCTCATGACTGGCAAGTTATCTTTGGATTTTTACTGGATGATTACAGTAGCTTCTTAAAGTAGTCCCTCTATTTCCTTACTCTGCTCACAACCACAGGAATGACCATGCAAGGAATGCTGGATCAATTCACTCATCTGCTCAACCGCTATTTGTTTCACATCCCACCAGGACAAACGTTTGCTTCCTGCTTGGCTCCCCCTTTGGAAAGATCCGTGACAGCTGGGATTTTATTTTGCCCATTGCTCTCTTGGGGTCAGGGGCAGTCATGGCACACTGGCACAATTCTCGGCTTCCATGCAGAGACCCAGGTTCGATTCTTGGCCAATGTACCTCAAGGGCAGCTACTCACCTGGCACTGGAGATTGGGTGTTGCCATGATGCTGAACAGCTTTCAGCAACAGAGATTCGAGACTATAAAAACGAGGAAGAAAGGCCTGGCAATCTACTTTCAACAACTCAGCCCCTGAATAGCCCATGGATCACAAAGTCCTCATCCTAGTGTACGTGGGGTCTCTACCTTTCAGGGACTCGCTGGAAGATGGCTAACAACAAGATCTTGGAATCTAGAACAGTACCTGGTTCATGGTAGAAAAGCAATATATGGTAACACATTGGTTGAAAAATAAACAAGAGCATCTGTGGCTGAGGAAGGAGTTCTGGTGGCACGGTGGTTTTCCATTGGACTGCTAACCACAAGGTCAGCATTTCAAAACCACCAGCCGCTCTGCAGGAGAAATACAGGACTCTCAACTCCTGTAAAGAGGTACAGTCTCAGAAACTCAGGGGCAGTTCTACCCTGCCTAGAGGGTCGCTATGAGTTGACACTGACTTGAGGACAGTGAGTTTGTTTGCTTGTTTGTTTGTTTGTTGGTTTGGTGGTTGAGGAGTGGAATAGGATGGAAGTATTCGGGACTCTTTTACTATTGAGCAGGAAGGAAGGTGATATACAAACTTTGGTGGAAATTTTGAAGAGGTTTGAGCTTCAAAAGCCAACAAAGTTAAAAGTAAATATGAACCAGTTAGAATCTCCTCTTCCTGACAGAAAGGCCAGGGGAGTGGCTTTGTAGCCCACTAGTCAGAACAAAGGAATGGCAATACCATGACATCAACATCTCTGTTGACCTACGTATGAAGGGGTACCCCCACAAAATGGAAACCCCCTAAGCTGTGTATTTAAATTTTTTTAGAAAACAAACCATTACCTTCAAAGTACTCTCTATTACACTTAATACATTTATCAAATCTATGCTTCCATTTATGGAAACATTTTTCAAACTCATCTGTTTGGATGGTGACAACACCGCCCTCGTTTTTTTTCTTTACCTTTTCAATGTCATCAAATAGCTGTCCTTTCATGTCCCTCTTCATTCAGGGAAACAAACCCAAGTCACATGGAGCAGTGAGGTCAGGTGAGTCAGGTACATAGGGCAAGAGATGGCTGCATGAGCAGGTTCATTGCGGTGGTGGCAAAATCAGTCCCCATCTGTCACAAATCAGGTCTTTTTTGTCACACACTGTTATGTAATCTTTTCAGAACCTCTACATAGAAAGCTTGATTAACACTCTGACCTGGTAGAATGAACTCCAAATGCACTACAAATCAACATTTTGTGCATTCGGAAAGTTGATGGATGTCCAGAAGGAGGTTTGTAATCAACATTTCACCTGTTTTGAAACGAGAAGATCACTGGTACACTTGAGTTTTTACCTATAGCGCTATCCTTGTAAGCTGTGTTCAACATCACAACAGTTTCTGCAGCATTTTTTCCTGAACAGGAAACAAACTTCCACAGCTGCACACTGTTCTCTTAAATCGGCCATCACAAAAAACGAGGTTCTAGTGAAACTCCTTTTATGACAAAATTCAATGTGACCAGAGAGAACCTTCCCAGACACCACAGGGCGTACTAACTCAGAGTTAGTTGCTCGATGCCTGCCTAACAGGAAAAATGCGTACTACAATAATGCTGCTCCACCCACCCAGCACAATTCCATTTTCTTTTGGGAGGGGTACCCCCTTGTATTCTTTCTGAGAAAAAATTTTTTTTCGTTAGTTCCCAAAGCTGAGGAAGAACATGCTACCAAGTAGGAGAAAACGTCTATTCTGAATCTTAACTTCTAGAGGCATCTAAGGAAGCCACAGGAAAGGCAGCTTGTTCCTGGACCAACGGTCTTGGAAAATCACCGAAGGAAAGGATGCCTGCTCTCTTCCCCCTGTGGAAGCACACACATTCTCAGTGCAAGACTGGAAGTAAGGCTCACATTATCAGACAGCACTCACAGCACATGCAACCACTCCTTGGCTGCTCTCAGAGCCTTCCCAAACTTTGGTCATCCGAAGTCACCTCCACTCCCAATATATTCTTTTCTACCTTGTCAAGCACCAGCCCCTCCAAACATCAGAAAATCGGGAAGCAGAGTAGTTCCCCTTGGGGGAATACACAACTTAAATTTCTTATTTGTCTCTCCAGCAAGTTATACACTATCTTCCCATTTCCAAGTCTTCATTGGAGGTCAACCAGGGCAAGGTCAGATACAGTATCAGATACTGCGCACTGAAAACCTCAGTTATGGCATTCAGGCTCCTTTTCCACAACCACAGAAGGAGAACTGTAGCCTCCCCTTCTAACACCACCAGGCATGGATTCCTACTCAATGCAACCCGCCCTGTAGCACAGGGCAGAACTGCTCCTGGGTTTCCAAGACTGTCACTCTTTACAGGAGTAGAAAGCTCACCTTTCTCCCGAGGAGGCCCTGGTGGATGTGAAGAAAGAAAGAAAGTCATTTGATCCTATCTCAAAGTGTTGGGTTAGCAGCCCAACACATGACCAATTTGGCCACTAGGACTCCCATATAAATGCAGGGACATGGGGAAGGGGTGGTGTAGATATAGTCTTAG